CCACACACACACACACACACACACACACACACACACACACGAATAAGAATCGTCTCTCACCTAATTCTAAGAACCTGTGTGGACTTCCTTAATACTGAATAATCAGATCCTATATTATATAACCATATAAAGTATTACAGTTATAAAAACTGCACCACATAAGAAAAAGAAATATGAGTATACCCAATGATAACATTGTGTTCTTTTTTTCTTTTTAAAGTAGAGTGTTCAAGTAATTAAATTGAGTGCCTCAAGAGTACTGCATATAGTGGAGGTCACATGTAGAGATAATAGCAACTCATATTCCCAGTAAGTATCATGAAAATATAATTTGGACATAAATTTTGAATCAGAAGCAAACTGGGAAAAATGCAGTAACATCTCTATTTCTAGGCCAACATGACCATTATTTGACAATTTCAAAAATCAAAGTCAATCTTTTTATTTGTATGAGATAATAATAAAGTTTGGCGTAGCACATTGCTCTTGGTAATAAAACTCTGAGGTGTACCTATAGTTGCATCCTGAAATGACTTCACTATGTCCCTGAAAGCCTTTTACCCTGGTGGTGGTGAATCACCACTGGTGACTTTCTCAAGCTAGTTCATAGCGGGAACCTCAAGACACCCAGACCACAACGAAATAAGACAAAAGTAGTCACGTTTCACCTGGGATGTACAGTGAAATGTATTACTTTCCTATAAGTTGTTTTGGCAGGTACATGTTGATAGGACCTGGGATGTACAGTGAAATGTATTACTTTCCTATAAGTTGTTTTGGCAGGGACATGTTCAAAGGAAGAGTTTAGAAAGACACAATGCTTTCTTGACTTGTTTTTTACTACCTTCTATTTCTGTTCCCCAAATAAGAAGTTTTAGACAGCACTTACTATTTATAGCTCTCAAAACAAGTTAAGAACAAAAAGTTGCTACGATGCTGATAGGAGTGACATTTGAACTAGTTATTTCAAGGGATCAAATAATTCCAATTGCCTGTCAGTAGCAATCTAATTCAAAGGACTGAGAATCAATAAAGAATTGTCCATAGTGAAGTTCAATATAAAGCAGCTACGGTAACATTTAAAATAAACATTGTCTCTATTCCTTTTATCAGTTCCTGTGGTCCTTGAAAACATTAGCTTTAAACTCTCTTCAAAATATGATTATTTGAGGTTGTGGTATGTTTGTTTCCAGCCTTTAAACAGCAGTACTAGTGCTTGGAGAGTGTTTCTACATTCTATAAACTAGTTTTCCATCTCTCTTTGCAGATAAAGCTGCAAGAAAAAGTGCAATCATTATTTGTACAGAGGACTTTAGCAGTCTGAATATTCGAACTCTTATCATTACCCTCCAAAAGTCCTGCCTTATTTATCTCAACTGCCCTTTGGAGATGAAACATATTTCATACTCCAAAATAATTTAATAATTTACTAATGACTAATCAATATGCTGTACTTGGTATAATTTATAAACATTCTTACAGGAAAAAATATTTAAAATTTTAAGATGATTCATTTCTTTTTTAGGGACTTTGAGAATTTTCTTTTTTTATGTGATTATCATCTGACACTTAGTAGCAAACTTGATTCTTATGTCTACAAAAGATTTTTAGGAACCTGTTAGACTTCCCAGAGGGGTTCTAACTCATGGGAGAATCTTGGTAAATTGTCAATCATCTCCTTTTAAAAAGATTAAAATGCTTTAAAAATCTATGATTATTTTCTTGGCTATGTATTATATAGTTTGCCAGGTTAGCAATCCATTAATTTCTGCCTGTCCAGAAGGGCAGAAATGAACATACTAGCAACAAATTAAGTAGTCTAATTTTGGGAATCTCTTATTGTTCAAGTCATAAGATAAGCCAAATAAAAATACATGTGCACAATAATTATATTTAATTCCCAAAGACAAAGCTAAATGTGTAGTTTATTAACATTTAAAAAAAAACCTCCTTACTATTAGATTGTTTTAATTACCTTAATAAATTTTGCTTACATAATAACTGGATAAATTAATGTAACTACTTTGTAAATGTTTATATGATTCTAAAATGCAGATTGTAAACATTAGCACACCTGGGCATTCAACAAAAAAACTCCAACTTAATTTCTGAATTTAATTAAGTTTATGAATTCTTTTCTAAGTAAAAGCCCGAGTTCCTCCCAATACATTAATCCTTATCTAGGTTTACTTTATATAAAGATATGTCTTCAGAACTGATTTGCAGGTAATGAAGAGATAAGAAAAATCCCATACTGTTTTAAAAAACAAACTCGGATAAATTACTTAACTTTCTTATCTAAGGCATAAGGCAAAAATAAAACAAGGAAAAAGTGAAAAACGAAAGAAAGAAAGAAAGAAAGAAAGAAAGAAAGAAAGAAAAGGTACTGAAAATGATAAATTCTGCCACAGATCCACACTTTAAAATCAAAAAACAGCTGCTATGCACATTCAAAGTCTGCCAGCCAGTGCACTGACTTGGATTCAGTTTTCAAATCTAAACATCTTAAGAACCAATAAACCTTTCACAACAATTAAGGTATGTATGGTAACTCATTTTGGATAAGCAAGCAAATTCTTGAATAAACAAAATTCCACATAACCTTCAACTTGGCAAAAGCCACAGATAAAAGTTAATTCAAGAGCATTTGCAATTTTTCATGAAAAAGCGATTTGAATATATGGTTTATGTTGCAATACTAAGTAATCTATTGCAGAAAGTTTCATTTAGAGACAAGCAAAAAAGACCTTAAATTTAAACAAAACTTTCACTAATACTTACCATTCATTAACATATAAATGCAATCCCCTTTTCAAAGGATAATTAAGAGCTATTTAACTTAAATGATTTTGAATCATTTAAGATTGTAAAAGCCTTTTGAAGAACTAGAATTATCAGCAAGACAAAGAAACTTGTTTACATGCTAAAAGCAACTTGATCAACTGCATACAAGACCATAGCTAAAAGCTCATCTGTCTACTTCAGAGCAGCTACAGCAGCCCTGAGTTCCATTTGGAGACCCTCCTTTCACTTTAAACCATCTTGAAAATCTGATGCCAGAATTACATTAGCCACAGAAAGTATAAGTACATACATATCTACTTATGTATATTCAGATATCAAAATATACTAAATATTTAACAAAATATACTAAATATTTAAATATTAGCAACTTTCATTTCACACATACACATGTACAAAATCACAAAATAGCATCTCACAAATATGGGAGTTCCAATAGAAAAATTTAAATTGGTAGATACTAACAAAAACCCTTCCACCCTCAAGCATATTTGAACATATGTCAAGCTTCACTGAAGCCACAGCTCATTGTACCCATAAACAAAGTTGCACAGAATAAAAAATAAAATAGGTTGTAGAGTGGTATTTTTTTAAAAAAAATCTAAAATGGATTAAATGTCTCCACATTAAATCCCAGTAAAAGTGACTAAACATCCAAAGTCAAACTTCAGCAAACATTACATGCATCATAACACACAAAACAATTTTAAAACCCTTCACTCCCACTAAAAGATTTACTTGAAACCCACAGATTTCCTAACTGTAAGATACACACCTAACGTCCTGTGTTGTGAACAAGGAGGAAAGAAGACACCTGCACTTAAATCTTGAAGCATCCCGTCCTGATGAGCCCAGAGAAACTAATTTCTGCCATCAGAAAAGTCCTCCACCAGAACAGCAAATAACCATATGCGCCGCTCTAAAGGAAACAGCAAGCCAGCCGGTTCTGGCTCTAGGTCTCTCGAGGTACAATAATATAAACCTGATCAATTGCAATTAAAATCTGAACAGAGACTTAGAACCTGAAGTCTTGGTGCATTAGTTCTTGCCAAAAGCAGATGTGATTGTGAGCTGGAAGCAATTTCTCCTGGTAATTTGTGATGACACTGGGTAGTGCAGCCCCAGAGTCCCCAAAGACAAGCTCATCAGAGGCTCTAATGTATGCATGACACATGAGGTGGCTCTTTTAGAGCTCAATTAATTGGGTTGAACATTAAGACAGCAAGTTCAGGACTCCCTCCACCCCCTTCTAGAGTTGCTTTTCCCCTTTAAAGCCTTTTTTTTTCTTACCTTCAGCAAGCCATGTTTCTTGTAACTGACTCAGATCTTGAAAGAGTTCTAAAAAGCAAATCAAAGAAACAAACATAAGACTGAACAGTCTGCAGTCTTCATTAACTGAAAATGTTTGTCATGATGCTGGCATTCAGTATGATTTCAATTTAGAGAGCATCCACTGAACATAGGATTCATCTCTTAAGTACCTGAATAACCCTGCTTACTTATGACATCACTTAGGTGACACTTAAGAGATTTCTTTAGACAACAAAATAATATTGATTATCTTCTTTTTTAACATATAAAAAGTATGCTCAAAGAGAATGAAAAACACACATACACTAAAATTCACCAAGGTGCTGAACTAAAGATGGTCTACACACAGAAATCTTGCCTAAGAACACTTGACTGGCTAAAACAGGACCAGGATTAAAAAGACAAAACATTTACAACTTCTAAGTTTATAAACAAAATACCAACAGAACTTGAATTAACTTCCAAGTTATATTTTCCAACAGAATTACCTCAACACTACGGGACAACTTCACATACAGGCATATAAAGAAAAACTTCTGCATTAAGCAGACTTATAAAAATCAAAGACAAACAGTACCCTAGCTTTGGTTTATTATCAATTCCAAACTGTACTCTGCCATGGGGAGGGAGGGGGGGTTCCGATATCTACTGAATGAAAATTTGATGGAGTTTAGAATTCAGTACACTTCTTTTAAATTCAAACAACTTTGGTAATTAAGTTTCTTCAATCCATTATGAATGCCCCACAGGGTTGAAATAATTCCTAATACATTGACATTTTACTAACAGTTTATAGAAGAATCTGTAACCTCATTTACCAAATAATATAATAACTACTCATTTAGCCTGAAGTTTGATCTAGTGAATACTTCAAGGCCTATTAACAAGATGTTATGACTTCACAATACAGTCATCAAACTCACTCATAAAATTTCAACAGTAGTATATGGCTTCATTTCTATTGTTTAACTGTAATAAAATTGAAAGAAAAACGTAAGCAGGGTTCATAGCTGCTTACTTTGTCCCAGGGTGTTAGATAGTTTTAAATTGTTATCTCAGTGTAGGGGATTAGTTATATGCCATATGGACAAGAATAAACACAAAATAATGTTTAAAAGAAGAAGGTCACTGTTGGGTGTTAGTTTCCTTCTTTCATTAGATTGTGACAAGACCATAAAATAGTATCCAAGGCAAACTCACTGTGGGAATGAGTGAGTGTAAAGTCCACGTTAAATTCAGGAGTTTCAATGTTTAGTATTTTTTAGATGCAACTGAGATGGGCCCTTTCCTTGGAGGCTAGAGAGTGTCAGTAAGAGAGGGGTTCAGCTCAGAGTCAAACCTCACCTTCAGAATCATGAGCCAGATCTCTGTTAATGACTTTTCTTTTCCTGACATTAGTTGGTTTCTCGTTACAATTTCTCCCACGCTGACTCTACAAAGGGAAAGATAAAATCCTTTAAAAGAATATAAACCTCAGATGTCACACATTAAAAAAAAACAACATGCATACATAACATAAGCCTACTGGATCCTCTCTCTGAGTAGAAAAAAAAAGTTCATAGGAGAACTTCAATATGTATTGTCTGACTTTGGTGGTGAAGGCTCAGGGTGCGAGTTCAACAGCCTGAGTGTGGCTTCCCCGAGCAGATCCTAACACTCCTGTTTATTCTCGTCATGGTTACTTGTAATCTCAGCATCGATACATTAAGCTAGAACACGTTATGTTATTTTTCTTACTAAATCAACTCTAGATTAAAAATGATTCTCTCTCAGACAGCACCCCCCACACCCGCAGCAAGAGAAGCCAAAGGAGTGGAAAACTGGAAAAAGCAAGAAAACGAGGGGGGAAGCAACCCCTCCAAGACACCCCATGTAAACAAAAAGGGCCAGTATTTGTCTTAACTTGGTTCTTTTCAGTGTGGCAGACAAACCCAGCCACAAACTTTGAAGGCAGCTGCAGCTGCCCTTCGTCTCCTCTTCCACTCATCGTGGACACTCTAACCAGAAGGGGTCTTAAAACAAAACTATGCCTTAGCCAAATCACTCAAAGGTAAGCTCATTTTTGTAGATGGGGCTTCTAGAAGCAGAGTCGCCCTACAGTGGCAACAAAGCAGATAAAGTGTCTGCAGTCCCAACCCCCTGCCCCCTCCCTTTGCATCTCTTGATCTCCCCACCCCTGTCGTCGGTCCGTCGGTCCGAGTCAAGTTTATAAACAGCAACTTTCGAACTGATCACTCACGTTGGTGACCACGTAAGGCACTTGCTGGTCATAAAATCCATCCATTCTGCTGCTCTTCACAAATATTAGCTCAGTGTTTTATATTTTGAGCATTTAGCTGGAGATTTCTTCGGGATCTGGACTTCTATCAACCTAGAGGGGAACAAGATGGCTTTTAGGCTTTAAAAAATCATGAATGAAGCTCTTGCATTTGCATAGCTAATTACCCTCGACAGTCCCATTCACAAAAATAACCCTCCCCTACGCCGCCTTCTTCACCTGGATCCAAAGAGAGCCAGGAGAGTTCACAATTTACATATTTTAGGTCGTATCAAAAATCCTAACCAGAGGCAGTGTATTTATTTACACTCTGGACGTTCCCTGTTCGGTCAGTGTACCCCAGGCAGCTCTGATTCGCAAACGTGTGCAAAACTAGCAATGGCGATCAACGAGACTTGCTTTTCACCTAACGGGACTAAAGAGAAGGAGGCACCTCTTTCATAAGGATAGTTTTTGCAACCCACAACCATGCAATTATCTGGAGAGACATAAAAAGTTGTTGGAAAGACCCACCTGAAGGCCACGCTAGGCGAACGGCTGCAAAAAATTCCCTCCAAATTTAATAAAAACATTAATTATTGCCCAGCACTTCCCCTTGGAAGCCGAAAGCGCCTCTGACAGAGCTCAATTCGGTGGTTTTTCCTCTACTTCTCCTCCAGGGGCCTCCAATCCAAACTGATGGATCGCTGCCTCCCATTGGCTCCACGTCTCTTTCACAAGATCAGATTTCGGGCTGTCAATCAGGCGGCTTTCGGCCCCTTCCCTTGGGTCTCTTGCGCCCCTCTTGCCTCCGCGACCGCTCTGCGAGGAGGCGCAGGTCCTGCACCCAGGAAAACCCACCAAGGAAACCTTTCAACTTGCTGTTTTGGAAAAGACCGGGGGAGATAACGAAACCTAGTCAACCACTTCTCATTGCTAGCGTGTTTGGTCCAATATTAGGCAGATATCCTTAAAGCCCGGTCGTGAGGTTCACGCACAGATCTACAAAGCGAGTGTGCCCAGTCTCTCTTCTCTACCTCTGACCCCGAGCCCACCACACGCTCCAGCCTCGCTCCCAACAGCTTTCGGCCCAAGCTACTTTCTCATTTTTCAACACTAACCAACACTATAGGGCTTATTGGATTTTTTTTTTTTTAATACATGATCTAAAACGATCTCCTTTTGTCAGTGGGATTTTAAAAATACAGTAAGGAAAGCAAGCCGGAGAAGCTGCTTCTTAGGAGAGGTGGCACCGGGAGGGAGGATCGGAGGAGTGCGGTGCAGCAGGCGAGGAAAGTAGAAAAATCAGATTCACTCCGGCGAGTGGTGAGGGAAAAGAAACCTCCCGCGGGCCACAGAGGAGTGGGGGAGGACTGGGTGGTTCAGACGCGCCCCCCCTCCACTCCACCCCCGACCCCCCGTTTCCGGAGCTTTTGTTATGTATACAGAGAGGCGGAGAGTGTCACTTACTGTACTTGAGGATTCCACTTCCTCCACCGAGGAGGGAGGGGAGAGCGGGGAGAGCTCGGGTTACAAGGACAATGATGGGACGTTTGGAAGCGAGGACATCTCTGAAGCTGCCTGCCCATGGGGCTTAGTTCAGATGTCCCCTTCGTTGCCCCTGTCCCACCCGGGAGGAGCGGACAAGAAGCTTCATGGTGTTGAAAGTCACTTGAGACCCTAGTGGCGACCAGGGCTGGTGACTAAAGCACTTTTCCACCAGCTGCTTCTCCCGTTGAGCAACGTGCTACGGTTCTCTGTTTCTATTGGAAAGTTTCTTTCTTTAAATGGAACACGGTGGAGACATTAAGATGGGAACGTGCACGCCTGGCACTCCAGGCCCGCTGGGGAAGAGGGAGGTGTATAACAAAACACTCTGCCTTTCCTCTTGGGAGAGTGCAGTCTTCCAGGGCACACACAGGGCTTGTCCCCAGGCTAGTCAGAGCATCGCGCATGTCCCCATTCAGAGAGAACTGCATCGGAGCCCGGACCAGCGCTTGCGTTCGGGACGCCGCAGAGCTGGAGTCAGGAAGCTCTGGTTGCTTTGTGAGGGTGCAACCAGAACACGGGACAATAGCGCGGGTACCCCGCCGACCTGCAAACCCGGGACAGGACAGCAACAGTTTCCAAAGCCCTTCTCCGAGGACAGACCCCGACAAGTATCCAGGGCAACCGGGAGAGGGCGGAGCTTCTCCAAAGGCCCGGCGAGCCTGTCCCTGCAGCCAATGAGGAACCGTAGATTTCCAGCCCATTGTTGTTTATTGCTGACCCCTCAGCGCTCCGCCAGCGGATTGGCTGCTTTCGAGCAGGGGGCGTTTTCCGTGCCTTCCCCTGAGCCACCTTTCGGCTCCATTCACAAAATCCCCGATCTTTCTGGGTCACGTGGTCGGGGGCGTGGAGGGACAGGGAAAAAGACCAACAAAGGCCCAAGTTCTCAAAACCACAAAAGTTTTTATCCGTCACTATCTTCCCTACACAGCCTTGGTAACAAATGACAGTAGATGAGGGAAAGTATCCTTGGGTCTGAGAGCAGTAGAAAATCTTGAGTGAGACGAAGTCCAGGTTAAAGGAGCCCTCACCGGGGATAAGTCCGGGGTGCCCTGCCTAAGGGAAAACCCTGCTGAAGAACAGAAAACTGGGAGTGGGAGAAGGGGGGTAGAGAGGTCTAGCAACTTTGCTTTCTCTTCAGCAACAGGCTGTTTAAAAGTGCAAGCTGTCTCTATAGACGTATTCAGCGTTCTCCCTAAGGTTCTTTTGTTTCCATTTCTACTTTTGATTTATCCCACTGCCATTTACTCTCCAGGTTCCTTTAGTGCAAGGTTTCACTAGCTGACAATTTTAGTTCTGGCTTCCAAAGCCCATCGCCCCTACACAGGCCCCTCCTTCCCTTCGGACGGATGGTCCATCTTGCTGCTGGAGCTCCCGGTTTCCCCTTTGCAGCTCTCACTGTAGTTGAGAGTGATTTTATTTGACTAAGCAGCTCTTTCTTCTCTCTCTGCAGCTCTTCTAAGCAGCCAAACTGCTGAACTAAGTATGTGCTTTTTGTGACTGGACCCTTCTCTCTGCCGCTCTCTTCCTCTGGCTTCATAGTCAATGAGACATTTTTCTCTCTTGCTTGTTCTTCTCCTGGCTACTTACAAAAATACTAGGTTCTAGCCTGGGGCCTAGCTATGGTCTACTCTTGTCACTGAACAGTAAGTCCAGGATCAGAAGGTAAGGAAAGCGTTGAGAAGCAGCTGCATGCATAAGAAGAGGTACTCTGAAGTTGCACAAGTTTCCACCTCTCTTTGAGACTGTCTTTTTAAATCAGTTTTAGTACATTTCAGTCCTTCTTGAGTGGAAAATTTCATTCTGGCAAGATTTCAAACATAGCATGGCAGCTCAGAGGCCAAGAGGCTTTGACATTTATTTACTTGTATTTTGAAATCCCGTTTGGGTTTTGAAATAAGAGCTCTTGAAAGAACACAGCCCCTCCCCAAGTCCTATTTTTTTTTTTGGAAAGTTTTTTTTAACTTGTATATAAAGTTATTTAAAGCTTTATAGTTCCTTTGCTGTTATTTTATGAAGTAAAATAATATACATTAGTGGTTTTCTGCAGTTGACTTATGACATTGAAAATGTATGCTCTTAGGAAAGTAATTTCATTTCTAAAAATTGTCTAAAAATACAAACTATTGTGGTCCTACTTTTTAAAAATGGTTAATATAGCAGGCAGGGTGCCATGCCTATAATCCCAGTACTCAGGAGGCAGAGCCAAGGGAATGGCTGCATATTTGAGGCTAGCCTTGTCTATGAAGCAAGTTCCAGTCAGGGATACAGAAAGACACATACTTCTCATCTGAGGAAAACATAAACTAAGTAAAATAAAATTACTAGTATAATTAAAATTAATAATTCTCAAAATTATATTATTAAGTAAGCTAACAAATGTTGTAATATGTTTTAATAAAATACCATATAAGTGAATTATTGGTGACCTGTTTTTTTTCCATAGGAGTACATTAAATAGATCAGGATAAGATATGCCATAATACAGGATTATGAGCTATGTGAAAATAATCCAAGGGGAAAGCTGTTGGCTCATCAGCATGCTGAAAGATAGCTAAAAACCTCATGGGGATACTCTTGTCAAAGCAAGCAGAAATTTGAGGTGACAGTTAAGAGTATCAAACAAAAGACAGGGTAGAAGGTGTGAGGTAGTAGTACACATATATAATCCCAGCACTGGGGAGGCAGAGACAGGAGGATCTCTGTGAGTTCAAGGCCAGGCTGGTCTCCAGAGTAGTTCCAGGACAGTCTCAAAAAAGAAAAAAAGAAAAAGAAACAAATGCAAGGTAAAAGACATTCTCCTCCCTACCAGTGACATTACCACTGTCATCTAGTGAAAGTCTGTTCACCATGAAGCCAAAAATGACTCCTAATGCCCAAGAATGTAGATGACAGAGCAAAGGAAGTCACAAACACTGTAGCTTGGACTTTATGTAATGTGTTAAACATGAGTTTATATTATCTCCTGGTCCTTACCATGGGAACTATCTGCTAAACCCTAAATTAAAGCTAATAATCCTGACTTGAAAAATCCCACAACTGCCACCCAAGTATTTATTAGAAGAAAAACTCTAGATGCAATCCAATCCCACCATTGAAGCACTGGGTTTTTTGAATTATAATGCTTTGAAATTCAATTGTAATAATGTATCTGTTTTCTTTTTCCTAAGTGTGTGATTTTCCTGGTTCTCAAATGAGATTATGCAAGAAACTCCTTAAGAATTCAGGTTCCTGGGCCAGGCGTTGGTGGCACATGCCTTTAATCCCAGCACTCCGGAGGCAGAGGCAGAGGCAGGCGGATCTACGTGAGTTCCAGGCCAGTCTAGTCTCCAGAGCGAATGCCAAAGCTACACAGAGAAACCCTGTCTCGAAAAACCAAAAAAAAAAAAAAAAAAAAAAAAAAAAAAAAAAAAAAAAGAAAGAAAGAAAAAGAAAAAAAGAATTCAGGTTCCTGGATGCATTCTGTCTTGGGCACTGTGGGCTGGAGCTAGGGTGCAGGGGTCTGAACCCTTGGCCTATTTCTACAAGAGTACAAGGGGAAATGCTCAGTGTGTGCCAGTCAGACATGTTTTACTTGACCTACACATTGACCTTCAAAGGAAATTCACAGACAACATTTAAAATTCAAATTATGTCCCAACAACCATTTTCAGCATGCCTGCAAAAAAAAAAAGAAAAAAGAAAAAAAAAATCAAAGGTTGGTAACACTGGGCTATGAATGAAAAAAAGGAATAAAAAAGAAAGCAAAGGACATGACTCTTTCCAGGTATGGTAGAGCAGGAAGTTTATTATAGATATGTTGTAGAGCATAACCCAGAGGCAGAGGAATCTGGAAGAGTCCAAAGTGGACTTGACCAGACTGAGCTGAGCTTTGTGCGGAGAAGAGGAGGGGAAGAGAGAAGGGAGAGAAAGAACCATGTCCAGGAGCCATGAACCCAAAGGTACAAAAATGCAGGGAAATGCCTGCTTTACATAGAGAAGAGCCCCTTGCAGAAGGCTGGAGAGTTCAAGGTAGAGGGCAGGGTATGCTAGTCACTCTCTAACAGGTAGGGACTGAGGGATGCTGGGAGAACCTGGAGGCCAGGTCGATTTGATGTGTTAACTAGTCACCTTGGCTGTTTTTCCCAGGTTTGAAACTTAATAGGCCAGAACTCCTAATTCTGTTGTTTTGCAACAGAAAATTGTGGAATCTTCCTTTACACAGTGTGAATACATATCACTATGATTGGTTTACTAAAGAAGCTGACTGGACAATAAGATTAGGCGATAGAGCCAAACTCAGAATTCTGGGTAGAAGAAGAGTGGAGTCTTAGGGTAGTAAGCAGACCCAGAAAGAAGCAAAATAGCATGCCCTACTGAGAAGAGGTAGCAAGCACCATGACAAAGTGTAGATAAGAAATATAGGTTAATTTAAAATGTATGAGTTAGCCAGTAACAAGCCTGAGATATTCATTGGCTGAGGATTTATAATTAATATTGAGTCTCTACCTGGGGTTACATGGGAGCTGCTTATAGAAAATAACTTGCTTGGGGTGGAAACTCTCAACAGGAAGCAATGTTTAAAGGAGCTAACATTCCTTGTGAAGGGACACGGGCTCTCAGTTTTGCCCTTATGCACTTTTTAAATTTGTCTTGTTTCTTTTGCCTACCATACATTCATACTGACTTTGATGTGCCACCCATTTTAGCTGTTGTGTGCATGTTTATGTTTTCAAGTGTCTTTGTGACTTACTTCTAAAAGAAGTAGCAAAGAAAACAAACCAGGGAACACAATCTATGGTT